TGGGAACAGTGGGGCATAATCTCCGCCATCAGCACGTCCGTGGACGCTGTTGTCGCAGACATTACTGTTATATACAGTGGCCAGTTTCCGGTGCGCGAAAGCTGAATCTTCAACAACTCTATGGCTCCTGGTGTAGCCTTGTCTGCGACGACAGACTCCCACAACTGCGGCGTGTCTAAGCTGATGTCCCGCCAGGTTGTGCAAACATGGGTGAGGATAAAGGGAGGTTCCCATGGCCAGATTCGTGACAAAAGGTGGGGGCGGCATTCGTTGAAGATTTGGGACGCGATTTCCTGAGGAAGCAAAGCAGCGGGGTCCCGAGCAGGTTCTGCCATGGCTGCTGGGACGACGTGGACGTTTCCCAAAGACCTTGAGGCTTGACATGAGAAGGCGATGGGCAGTGCAAAGTGCTGCACGTGATTGTACGCGTCTCTCCATCGCCCGTCAAGCGTACGCAAACAAACGCTGAAACGGAATTGAGGATTGAGGCTGTTTCACAGAGAGTAATAAACATTGCGCATGCATATTGATGCAGTGATGTAGTGGTACTTTCTCGCTAGACCATTGCCATCCATAGAAGTTTTGAATTTCCACCACCCAGAGACACGAAATCTCGAATTATCGTAATAATAAATCAGCGCTACATGTTTTGTTATCATCGCCGCCATAGTCAGTGTCCTGTAGGATATCCTCGGTTCCGGACTTAGGAACCAGGTCTGTTTGGTGCCTTTGTCTGTCCGTTGACCGTGCAAAATCATGCCTTAGTTATGATCCCATCTCTGTATCACGCAACTTGCCGTCGACCACGAAGGCTCAAATGCAAACTGGCCCCATAGTTGAATCTAGAAATCCTCGCCACCCTCCCAAAAAGAATGAACCCCAGGTCTTTGTCAAATTTTATTGTAACCTTCCGAATCTGCCAGTTGTCGGCTACTCTGCCCCTTGGGCCCTGCGGTCTTGGCGCAGGTCCGCCAAACGGTGCACATACGAGCCGACTATTCCTACCATGTCAATCTCGGTACGGATCACCTCAATATTGTGTGGGTCTGCCGCAAAATGAACGGCGCGAAGTCCAATCTCGAGTCTCTGGACTTTGTGGTCCCTCCCGAAGCTGCAAACGACCCCGACTTCTTCCTAACACTGACTATAGTCTTCTTTGACGACATCAATCTATCCCTAGAGGCCCTCAAGTATCTCCGAGCGCCCCTTCTACCCGAAATGCAAGACCAAATCACCTCATACAACGCCAAGCGCACGCCGCGAGCTAAACGGCGCTGACACAATATAAGCCACTAAAAAATTCTTGGAGGTCACTAAAGACTCATGAAAATCGCTAGATACCGTAGGCACACCACCGAAGAGAACCACCGGGTTCTATTACAACTAGCGAGGTACGAGTTATTGTAGTCTGTCTAGGAGAGACTAGGGTTCTATCACGGATATATTGGTTTTATAGGAAGAATAACCACGAGTAACCAGTGAATTCTACTGGCGGTCACGGACATTCAATAAAATGGAATGCTGATAGAGGATATTTTGCTGGTGATAGCGACAAGGCAGCCAGTGGTTTCTCGACCCCATTGAATATAATTTTTTCTGCGTGCCAAATGATAATTGCCAATGGGAACCCGTCGTTATTTCTGGGTTCTATTGCATATCACAGATGATGACATAAATGAAACAGAAGTACATATATACAGTAGATGCCAGCGAAAATCATGAGGATCCTTTACCTTGCACAATGCGAACTCAATTGTCGACACTGATCAACCGTGGTTTGTCTTATCAACCGTTATCCGTCACTGGTTGCTGATAGCCAGCGAAAACCACTGGTGGCCGCCGGCGAACTTATAAGTGGCGCGTATTTAACTCGTTTTTTTCTGTCTCAAATTTAGAACTCCGCCACCCGGGGAGCTGGATCTGGAGCCAAGATTAGCAATGCCAAAGCACCGCAAGCGCTAATTGGCCGACAGCTTATAGTCTGAGTCGGCTGTATCGAAGACCCCTGATAATAGGTGAGAAGGCTAGGCCCGCTGGCGGACAAAAAATTGGCCAAACCCAAGTTCCGGACGGACAAAAATGGCATCTTGAGGCCGGGAAGCCCAGGTCCTGTGCGGAAATTGCTGGGATTAAGGCTAGGCAAGTTTTCCACATACTACTTTGATAACCCCAATATCCACGCTTTTTTATCTTTTTTATCCACTTATTAGTTCCATCCGACTGATTCTGACGATGATGATGACGGGGAGAGTTAATTTAAATCTAAATGACGAGAAGCGGGATGCACAACCGTCCTACTGCATTAATTAATATTGTACATATGGCCGCGATCCACTATATTCACCGCAGGGGGGGGGAGGAATCGAATTTTTAGCCAGGCTAGGTTCGGGACGGACAAAAATCCGGGCAATCGGCGCAAAACCTAGACGGAAAAAACTCGGCCAAATCGGCCGAGTTTGGGACCTGGCCTTCCCACCTATTGCCAGGGGTCCTCTGTATCGCCGCAACAGCTATAAATTAACGAGTTCCGACGCGCGGATAACCGAACTCGAACCATCATTTGCCCCCCTCCGTCCTATCCCTCATGGCGACCATAAAGTCCACGACGCCTGCGCTCCCCGACTACGGTTTGACAATAGACTAGTATACGTGTGACCCTCCCCAGACTATGAGGTCCGCTTCCCACTCATCCCGAGTGGCACGCCCGAATTCTGACAAATGATTCCGCAGATTGCACTCGACATCGCGCAAAATGAGTTCGTCGAGCTCGCAGACGTGCCGCGCAAGCGCATCTCGTTCAACACCGTCGCGGGGCTCAACGGGCAGGAGCGGTGCGTCGTGCGCATCTCGGAGAGCGCGTGGTTCGCCGCAGTCGAGCGCCAGCTGTGCGGCGGCGTCATCGACATCCTCGTCTCGCCCGACCCCGCGTTGCTGCCGACGTACCTCGCCGTGCCCGCGGAGATGATGAAGGAGGAGATCGACATCCTGCGTCGCGCGCGTTCGAAGCCACCTAGCCCCGAGCCGCCGCGCTCGACGCCACCTAGCCTCGCGCCGCCTCGCCTCCAGCCCACCGCCCGCAGGTCGAAGAGCGTAAAACGCTCGTGGCTGTCGCGGCTTGTTTGATCCTCGTTTTCTGGGTCTCTCTGCTGTTTTTTTTTGTTTTTTGCAATTGGTTCCTGCGCCACACAAGCATACTACACCAAGGGTAGCGTCATTTTCCTGTCAGATACCCTGCTACTCGCAATTGCGATATTCTCCACTGTAACACCCGAGCATCATCCTTCCATTCACTGGCATCTGTGTCCATTGTCAAATCATTAGCTCAAGGCTTACTTGTAGGGCTGCCGCCCGTGACCGTTGCGACGGTTCCACGGCACCCGTCGACGGGGTGCCGTGCCCGTTCCGTCAGCCATTTTTACTCGACCTCAACGCCACGGTCGCGGTACGGGTTCGCAGTGTTACGGCCCGTTGAAAAACAGCCGTCACAGCTGTTCAACGGCGTAATTTTTATTGCAATCACAAACATTTTTCCAGGTGTGGTTCTGGTTTAGGAAGGACATCTGGGTGTTCTAACATGTTTCTATTTCATTATTTATATATTCTCTTCCCTCCAGTCCTCACAATACAAAGTCTTTGCACCATCGCGGCAATTGCCGTAACTGTGATGGCAATGTCCAACTAAGTTCATTCAACTTCAACTACCTGTCGGCGGCAATTTCCCCCCCTCTCTTAGACAAATGGCTGTCCGTTAAATATCTCCTTGCATTCTTTGGGCTTTTGGGTTGTGATGATGAGGTGGGGATACTCACTGATTCAGTTGAATTCAGTTGAGAAGCTTTCTCGGTGCTTAATATTGGCTTAACGGTCGGTATATGTGTTCACTTGTATTATGCTGCGACAAAAAAAACTTGGGAAGTACGTTAAAGCTCACTTCTGCATGTAAAATGGCCCAAACAAACTATTCTCAACCCGTGGGCCCGTCAACAACCCGTTACGGCCGTGCCGTTGACCGTACCGTCCCGTCAGGACCTCTCTCACCCATGCAACGGGCCGTTGTTCGACGGCCCGTTGCCGTGGAGTAGCCGTTGAATCGACGGCCGTTGCCGTCACGGCAACGGGCGGCAGCCCTACTTACTTGTGTATGTACTAGTATAACCATCTTCAATGCCATCTTTGTAACTAATCATGTCGGATTCGATTTCGACCAGTGCAAAACCATTTTTAGCGCACAACGCGTATGTATTGGTTGGGTTCAGGCTATAATTGAGACTCTTAATACGCACAGTGATTCGGAATGCCTCGACGGATATGGGAGAGTTGAAAATCAGGTCGGCCGGAGGCCTATTTGTTCGCAAACAATAGGATGATTCAGATATGGTTTGTTGGGCCCAACTTCGAGCCCAACTTGACGCCAACTCGAGTCACGCATTTTCTCCGGGAGTCCCCGGCAAGGGCAACGGCCCATGGAAGTCGGATGGGAGAAGTTGGGGCGTGAAGCTGGGCATGAAGTTGCGTGTCAAATCACGGTCTGCACCGTGATTTGACATGCAACTTCAATTGTTGCGTCCGAAAAAACTATATCTATTATCTAAAACTATGACCTTAAATATTCGAGCTTTTGAAGATGGGCCTCTCACTTTCTCCGGACTCAGCCAAACAACGACGGTTGGATGGCCGAGTGGTCTAAGGCGCTAGAATCAGGTGATATTGAGCTGTCAGGTGACAGGGCCCAACTTCGAGCCCAACTTGACGCCAACTCGAGTCACGCATTTTCTCCGGCAGTCCCCGGCAAGGGCAACGGCCCATGGAAGTCGGTTGGGAGAAGTTGGGGCGGCTGGGCATGAAGTTGCGTCCGAAAAAAAAACCATATCTGAAACTATGTTGAAACTATGACCTTAAATAGTATTCGAGCTTTTGATCGGAAATTGATACAGGTTCGTTGTGTAGCTGAAGATGGGCCGCTCACGTCTCAGGACCTCCCAAATAGGGACAAACAAAACGGTTGGATGGCCGAGTGGTCTAAGGCGCTAGAATCAGGTGACATCTTCGTAGTCAGGTGACAAGTATCTAGTCCGAAAGGGCAGGGGTTCGAATCCCCTTCCAATCATTTTTTTCTGAGTGGGATTCCAACCTAGCGGATCCGAAAAGGAAAAAAAAAAAGATGTGCTGACCCAAAAAGGAAAAAACAAGAGAAAAAAATGGTGGCGCCCTGGACCGCCGGTGCCCCAAATCTCCAAATCAGGGTCGCTGGGATTTGAACCTTTGGAATAGCTCAAGGGCAGGGGTTCGAATCCCCTTCCAATCATTTTTTGCTGAGTGGGATTCCAACCTGATCCAAAAAAGGCAAAAAAAAGGAGAAAAAATGGTGGTGCCCTTGACCGCTCGCGCCCAAAATTCCCCAAATCGAGGTGGAACCTTCGCAATAGCTCACGCGCCAGGGTTCGAATCTGGCGCACTGCGCTTCCCGCCCTTGTAAAAGTTTTTTTTCTTCTTTGGGATGTGGATGTGTCATTATATTTGAAAACAGCAATGATCGTGTCATCACTGAACTTTATGGACACGGAGAAGTCGAGCAGCCGATTAAGCTTCCTGTGATCCGATTTTTTTTTTCACCGTGTAATTTTCCTGTTCCCGCTAAAATAAATTTCCAAAAAAGATGCGTGCCAAAAATACAAATTTATTTCATGTCTTCTGCTGACTTCTCCCTCCCGAATAGTATGTAGGCTAGTGCATAGACGATGGAACAACCAATAATGTAAGGTATGGGATGTAGGGTGAATTATTTATATATAGCTACGAAACAACCATACAATGGATTGTACGGAAAGAGAAAAAAAAAAGATGCCAATGATATACTTATGTGTGAGTGGAATGAATCTGATGCGTAGTGATGGATGCCAATGCAGGTAGTTGAGATAAGAGGATGCAGGAGCGAGCTGAGAGAATGATGGATGGATGATTGCATGTGCTAATGTGCAGATGGATGGATGTATGCAAAAGAAAAGAAGGAAAGTATGCGACGGAGAAAGGAAAGAAAGAGATACGTGAATGATCATGAATATGTGAGTAGGTAGTAGAACGAGTGGATCATGATATACAAACGGCGCGGTGGTGAAGGTCAATCAATGCATGTAGGTGTCGGTGGAACGGGAGGACGGGTGGAACGGTGGGAACGGCGGGGTAACCCGTAAGTAGAACGTAAAACGGCGGAGTAACCCGCCCATTGGTAGTCCCGCACGCTCAATACGCATACGCATACCCACTCACCCCCGGCGGGCCGGCGTTCGAAAACACGGCGTGGCGCGGCGTCAGCGCCTGCGCAAGCGGGGCGAGCTGAGAGAGCGTGTGCGTGGGCATGGGTGGTGCGAGGCCTTGCGGCGCATGCGATGGGACCTGCGGGGCGTGCGACGGAACCACCTCCCCCACCCCCGTACTCCACCGCTCCAAATCCGCAAAGCGCGGCAGCCGTGGCGGCGTCCACTGCCCGTACCCGGCCGCCGTGTACGCGGGGCGCAGGGGCGTCCACTGCGTCGTCCTGCACACATGTGAGGCGGCGTGCCGGTGGTGCTGGTGTGGCGTGTGTTGCGGCGTATGCTGTTGGTGCTGCTGGTGCGCCGGAGCATGCTGCTATTGCTGGTATTGCTGCGCCGGGAGCGTCGTGCGCGGCATCGGGGGCGTCCATTGCTGCTGCTGCCCCCCACCCTGATACACCCCCGTCTGTTACGCCGCCCCCTAATACCTCGGCTGCGACCACCCACACACACACCCGCACAGGCGACGTCCGCGCGCTCTGCACGCCCCACCGCCCCGCGTACCCCCTTCCTCCTGCGCATCCGTACTGAGGTTGCAGTTGCTGGGCCTGCTGCTGCGGCCGGTACGCGTGCGCCTCGGGGTCGGCAGGGACGACGGACGACGCGCAGCCTGCGCATCCGTCGCGCCTGCTCCGCGGTCCAGGCGCGCGTGTCGCCGCTGCTGTGCCGCGTGTCGCAGCTGTGGTCGGCGTGTTGGGGCGTGGCATGCACGACGCGGCCTTGGAGGACCCAAGTACATATGCCATCTCCGCATCCCTCTCGTCCCGACGCGGCCGACGTGGGCGAGGAGAGGTACGGCGAAGTCGGCGGCGGGGGTGCGTCGCGTCGCGAAGTCGGGGGTGTGTCGCGTCGCGAAGTCAGGGGTGTGCTCCGTGTAGGCGGGGGCATCGAATTCCCCCTCCTCCCCCTTCCCCTCCTCACTCTCCTCCTCCTCCTCCAAAGTCGACTCCTCTGAGGCAGAGCACGACTCGGACGTGGTAGAGCTCGGGGAGGTGGACGCAGACGACACGGGCGACGACGGGAAGGTGTAGAAGTAGAGGTCCTGCAGCGAAAAAAATGTACGTTAGTATTCGTAAAAATAAGAAGAGGAGGAGGCGGAGAACAAGAAAAAGAAAAGAAAAACCCACCTGTTGCCCCACCACCCCCTGCCCTGCGCCCTGCGGCTGCCCGCCAGATACTCATGCCTCATTGTCAGCGTGCGCGGCATCGCGCCCAGCGTCGTGTATTGTGGCGTCGCACGGATAAGTGGAAGATGAAGCCGAAGATGGGTATGCGGGGGTGGAAGAAGTCGAGGTCGAGGTCATGGGGTAAAAGGTGGTTTGCGCAAGGACGGACGTCGCCGCCTCAGGGGAACACCAGCGTGTCACATGGGAGAACTAAGAGTGCGACGTGGAGAGAGCGCGGCGGGAGAAGGTGAAACGATGAAAGGGGAGGGGCGCTACGCCGAGGTGGTGGAGCTGAAGGGGGACGACCATTGCGGTATTTTATCGGGTAAGGCCTGTTCTGGAGGCGGAGTGTTTGACGTCGGCGGTGAGGGACGGAGATCGCGCTCGCCGGGATGAGGCGTCTGATTGGATGCGCTGGTTCGTTGTGACAGCGTTACGCGCATTATGGGCGTGTTCTAATCTATAGTGTAGGTTCCGGTTTTTTTAGAAGATAAATTACACGGCTCCACGGGCATGGGACTCGGTTTCGCTGGCCGTGTCGGCAGCCGAGGCTTCTGAGGCCGTGTTTGGACATTGCTACTTTCTCGCATCCCGCACTTCTTTCAGCTCCCAGAATGCTGGTGTTTGACCGATTACTTACCCATTCTTTGTGTGCTTTCCTTGTTATAGGTGTTATAGTGAACTTTATGCAGTTGCGAGGCAATGCACTAAAGCTTACTAAATATACCGTAGTGGATGATGCGGCTGGCCGAACTGATGTTATCGAATTAAAGGTTTATTTTTGGGGCGGAGCATCAACGGCACGGAAGATTAACAGATATCTATACCTGTATGATTCACACAATGCTGAGAATACACATAGAAGAGTATCTGTGGGAGAAACACTGCAACAGATATATACGCTCAGACAACACGCACCCCTCCCGTCAACAATATCCACTATGCCTACTACTGCAAACTTTAAGAACCTTATCCAATATACCACCCTGGCTGCAACTACTGCCAAGGATATTGGAGAAACATATCAAGTTCCATTTCTTGTCTCAACTGCTGCATTGTCCTTTTCAATTTTGAAGTGTATCGAGGTGATCCAATTCTGTGGTGATTGGCACAATATTCAACAAAAAAGAATAGACAACCAGATCAAACAAGGAAAATCATGTGGAAATTATGGAGCAGATTCATGAAATCCTGTGTATCATCATCCAGCTTCATTCAACTTCAGAAATCAAGGGTGTCCTTCCAACAGCACTCCTGTATGACATTGCAAAATTCACAGAGTGAGTCCCATTTGATGATGACATTGTATTCATTTTATATTTTATGCCAGGGCACTTCAAAAGTTGTTCATGGTTCTGAATGGGCAACAAAAAGGCACTCTAGGAAAAATAAAGGCACTTTTCAGACAGCCTGAGGCTGGAGAAAGATTGGAAACATGCAAGCAAGAGCTCAGCCGGATGGTTGGATTGTTCAAGGTATATCAGATGAAATGTGTTTCAGTGCACATTCAAATCATTTGCAGGCTCAAGTTACAGGTTCAACCTTGTCTCAAATGGGGCAAATGAAAAAGGATGCCAAGGAACAGCATGAAAAGCTTGTCGCCCTTTTGGAGAAAGACTCTACCCTCACTGGATCTGATCGGTCCTCAGTGAGTAGCAAAGTATGACCATTAAAATTTGTAGCTCATGGTTGTTAGATGGCAGGAACTCTGGCAAGTTTGAGGAATAATAGGTGAGCCAAACCTGCAAACACCATCAATCTTACTCAAGGTCTTGAACAGCTCAGGATCTTTTGGTCTACTTCCACCCTGCCCACAAATCTTCAATGGCCGTGAATCAGAGCTCCAGGATGTGGTGAATATTCTCATACAGGATTCTGCCCACATTGCTATTCTTGGTGTGGGAGGCATGGGAAAGACGAGCCTTGCCACAGTAGCCCTCCATAATCCACAAGTGGAAGCCAAGTATTCACATCGATACTTTATTCCATGCCACTCGAGCCCCACTTGCACTGAGCTGGCAACGACAATTGCAGCCCATATTGGGTTGGAGAAAGGCTCAAACATGGCAAAGAAGGTCGCACATTATTTTGCCCATGCTCCCCCTTCCCTTCTGGTCTTAGATAATCTGGAAACCCCATGGGAAACCCTTTCAGCTCGCTCTGATGTTGAAGAGTTTCTATCTCTTCTGACTGATGCCCCCCCACTTGGGCCTCATGGTGAGTAATGTTTGTGAGTTTATCAAATTTTACTTTGAACTTCCTGTAGGTCACCCTGAGAGGTGCTGAGCACCCAAGTAAAGTCAAATGGACCCGCCCCTTCTTGGCCCCTCTCGAGCCACTTTCCAATGTGGCCGCTCGGCAGACCTTCATTGAGGTTGCTGATGATGGCCATGATGATGCCAGCATCAATGAACTCCTTGAACTGACCGGGAATCTCCCCCTGGCAGTCAGCCTCATTGCAAGTGTTGCAAGTTCTGAAGGATGTGTCAAGGCACTTTCTCGGTGGAAACTAGAAAGTACTCGAATGCTTTCAGATGGGTATGACCAGAGATCAAGCCTGGATATATCCATCATGTTGTCATACACAAGTTCCCGAATGACCCCAGGTGCTCAGGAATTGCTCAGCCTTC